GTCATCCAGAGAGGGCTGTGTTGTAAAATGTTAATTCCACTGCAAATGGCAAATGACATCAGATTGCAGTTATAGGCCAGTGCTTGGATTAAAGGAAAAATGAACTACCAGCTAGACCCTTGAGAACCTCTTTAGTGGCAGATTGAGAGCCAGGAAAAATGGCTGTGCATTTACTCTGTACAGATTATGTTTTGCCAATCTGCAGATAAAAGACCTCAGTCTCAAAGGCCTTATTTAAGACATTCTTCTGAACATTAAAATCAAATATGAAACTAAGAAAAACAATAAAAATTGAAGTCTTGTGAAGATTCCCCATAAACATTAAGCTCTAAGAGCTCCCCAAAATCCAATTTAGTGAAAGAAATTTCTACGATAAAATGGTGCTTGACAAAAATAGTTGAAGAAAATAGTTCTGGTGTTTTTGTCCACTATTAAAGAGACAGACCCAAGTGAAATGGAATGAAGTGCTCATCACAGAGAATATGTTTGAAATTTTTTCAAGACCAAAAGGACATCTTACAAATACAGTGTTATTTGTAAAAATGGACTGTAACCCAGCCTTAGGGTAATTTTTGAAGCCTAAATTTAAATAAGTTCAGTGAAATTAAAACTGAGAGAAAATATTTCTAATTTAAAAGATACTTTTAAGTGAAGCAAAACTTGAGGGTAAAATTATCTTTTAGCAGAAAGATGTATTCTGTTGAGATAATTTATTATCAGAAATTTCATTAAGAGATGCAAAAATCAAGCAGTAGATGTATAAATATGTCATGGCAATTCTAAACACACAAATGTACCACATTATACCAGATTTAACATCAGAGAAACCTAGTATAAATCTTTGCTCTGCCACACATTTGACTGTGAGAGCTTGGGCAAGTTTCTTAGCCATTCTGATCCGCAATTTCCTGATCCACAGGAATGACAATTCTGTCTTTTGGAGTTGTTAGGAGAATTAAGTACGTAAATAACTGCTATATACTAAGTACTATATATTGTATCATCAAAAAAGTCTTGTGAGAATTAAATGTGGTATTACCTCCAAAGTTCTTGGCATAGTGTCTGGCATATACGTGATGCTCTGTAAATGACACTCTGTAGCAGACATGGTAGAAGTATTAGTATTGGCATCTAATAATATTGGAATTGATGTTGGTATCCTTACTATTAGTAACAGCATTGTTATTGGTTTGGATAGCAGTATTGGTATTAGTGTATATGATGTTACCCTGAAATGCATACCAGAGTAAGGAGCCCCTCCTTAAGATGCTATTGCTCTGAGGAACTCCTTTCCTGCCTTGTCTCAAAGAAGATGAAGGCTGGGACCCACCATCTTTCTTGGGCATAGCTTAGACATGGATTCCAAGCCAACAATTCCATGGCTACATACAGCTATGACCACAGACTCAGTGCCAGTCTTTGGGTTCAGGCAATAGATTCATGCAATACTATTACAGCTCTCTCAGTCTATCCTACAGGCAAGGATCTAACTATACCTGAGACAGTCACACTGCCTTTGGTCCCTATAGCCACCAGGCCAGCTCTGAAAAGACCAGCTATTTCTGTGCTTAAGCTGGGTTCATTGAGAAAAATTCAAGTATGATGGTTTATTAATTTGTTAGTGATGAAAACTTTTTTCATAGAATCCTATTATCCAGAATGCCTTAGAAATAAGATCTTAAAGTTAGCTACATTTTCTGGGATCAGAGATGACCCTAGACATCATCCAAAAATCACCAATCAACTAAAACAAGGTCATGAGAAGTATCTAGTTTCCATGCCCACCTCAGGAACTCTGAGCTATCTATCTCAGAGTTGGCCAAGAGAACTGCACCCATTTAAATAATGATCTCAGTCACATTTAACTAAGTGCCTGTGAGATCCAGGTATCTTTCATAAAATAACCCTATTTCTCATAACAGTCCTGGGAAGGGGCATTATTATCTCTAATTTATGAGTAAAGAATCAAAGTCCCAAATAATGAATAATTTGCTCAAGGTCACAGAATTACACAGAACTAAGATTGAAACACAGGTCTTCCCAGTTCTAAAACCTACACTATCCCCTACTTAAAAGTTAGACTAGCCCAGGTTGATGGGAAGAACCATCAGCTTCTAGAGGCAAAGCTCTCTTTTACCTCCAGGGTCAGCTGAGCAGGGGCACCAATGCTGAGCTGGTGCCTTAGCACTGGTGACATTGCTAGTGGTGCCAGGAAAGAGGGGAAAGAGCAGGAACAGTAAAAATGGCAGCCTGAGTGACAAGAACAAGAAGAAGGTGGCCAGGACAGCAACAGTAGCTGTGGGAAAGCTACAGTTGCCACCAGGCCCAAGTAATGCAGCTCAGAGGAGACCCAGAGTGCAGAGCTTATAATGAATGCCCACCTCGGGCTTCCCCATGTCCCACTTAGATACCTACACGCTGACTGGGTGACCTGAATCAAGAAGGCAGACCTATCAATGAGCATTAAGCACCAGTTCAGCCCCAGTGGCAAGGTGAAAGGGAGGTGTCACCAGTGACAGAATCAGCTAAACCCAGGCCCAGACAGAGGATATCCCCACACACTTTGTAAGACATATCCTCATTCACTGCTCAAAAGCCATCCTGGGCCTGTTTCTGCAAAGATCTTCCCTGAGTGAGCAATTTGTGTGGTCTCACCCTTCCAGGAATGGGGTACATCAGGGACTTGACCAGATTGAAATATCAGGGGTTTTTTGTTTTTGTTTTTGAGTTAGTGTAGGAAAAGAGACAGAGGGAGGGGAAGGCAGGTCCTAGAAAGATTCTGGGGTGCACATGAAGTTGGTCTTTGGACTCTCACCTCCTTCTCTGCACATCGGCACTCCCTATCCCTTGGCACATTTTCTTTTTCATCCTTGCTATCCAACTGCCCAAAGTTCCCCATGAAGGCCCCCAGTAAAGGCTTCTTTTCCCCTAAAACTCCCACCACTCAAAATGGACCTCTTGCTTCTTCCTTCTTGCTTCCCCATCCTCCTCAGAAGTCCCTTTCACTGCATTTAAGTACTAGAAAAGCATTCTGATTAAACCCATTTATCCCAAGTATAAATGAAAGCTGTCCTACTTCAGGGACCCCTCCAGATGCATGTCTGACAGAAACGAACCAGGTGAGCATTGTGGAGAAAATAGCTTTGAGTCGAGGGCCTTTCCCTCAAGCACATCTTTGAGCGAGTCCTGATGGAGGGTGGAGAAAGGGAGGTCTCACCCACTCCTGTTGGGAGTAAGAGAAAAAGAAACTGGAAAACTGAGGGTTTTCTCTAAGGGCCACAGGGGTTATTATGCAGCCAAGTCTTCCCAGTTGGCTGAGGTGGTGGTACTCCATGCCTCAGCTGCTCTTGGAGACCCTCAGAGTATCAATGTGATGACTGCAAAGTGCTGGGAATCAGGACACAATGATAGTAGAAACAGGACAGTTTTGCTAAAGCCGAGCTGTTCCATCATTCTACACTGGGTGTAGAGTCTGCATTGTTGACTCAGGATTGGCTTCTGATTGCTGAAACTTCCAGATCCCAGCAAGAAGCTGATGGAAAAAGAAGAACACTGGTTGATTCTTCCATCAGTAGTGAAAGAAGTGAGCTTTTGTCCCTCCTCCCAAGAGAAGACGTGCTCAAGAGAACTTCCTGTCCCTCCTCCTTTCAAAACCACTTCTCAGCCCCCTACCTTGTGCCAGAAAACCACAGCTCCCAAGGCCGCAGTTTCAAGAGCCTTCAAAGAAGCCTTCAGGGCAGTTTCCTGTTCTCCTTCATTTTATTTTTCTTTCTCTTGGTTTTGTTGTACAAAATAATTACTATACATTAATATGAACTACTTACCATTTATGCTGTGTTATTTGTGTAGCACAATAATAATTATTGTTATCATTAAATATATGTCTAACTTTATTATAAGTGTTATTTGATTGAAATCCTAAGCTCTGTTGACAGATACTCTTATTTCATAATTTATTGCTCAGGTGGTATGATCATTCATTCAGAACTTTAAAAATATTAGGGGATCCATTAATTAAGAAGCCAGGTTCTAGTCCCAACTCTGATTATAATTAGCTATGTGATTTGGGGGCAATTCTCTTAGTCTCTTTCGGTCTCAATCTCCTCAAACATAAAATGAAGTAATTGAACTATACAGATCTCTAAGTTACCATCAATCTCTAAAATTCTGCAATGTTGTGATTACACTAATATTGAACATCCTTTAACATTATTAGGGAGACTTTTGAGAACCATATATAACCTCAAAAATTATTATGAAAGCTACATATCTTATTCTAGTCTGACATTCACTGGGCATCATATCTGTCCTAGGCACTATCCCAGGCATTTCACAAGCATGGTCTCACATAATCTTAACAAACCTATGAAGTATATACTATTTCCCTGATTTTAGATATAAGAAAACAGAGGATCAGGCTCCCAAAGTCAGCAGAGCTGGAATTCAGATAACTGGACTCTACCTGGTTCCAAAGTCTGTGTTCTTCAAGCCACATTGTGATACACCCAAAATAACTTTGCAAAACATAAATGAGGCAAGGGATTGGTTTGAATCTGTCCCAAATCTGAAATACACCTTGGAATTCATGTATGTGTTTCTTCCTCCTTCTCCTCCCTTTTTTCCTCCTTCTTCTTCAGCAATATTTCCCTATAAACTGACTTTTTATCATCTGTTTCTTTCTCATAAAATAAAAAATTTTAATGGCTACAAATATTCTTGTTACTGAAATTAACTGGTTGTTGGAATCTCTGATGAATTCAAATTTATTTATTTATCCTAAAAGTCAAAAATTATATAGAAAATGTCCTATAATGATTTATAATCTATATGGAGAGAGAGAACTCAGTTCAGTGAGGTTCATAGGCTTTGGAACTAGATTGGTGAAGTGAAAATATCAGCTCTGCCAGTAAAAAGCTCTGTGACTGGGGATCAGTTACTAAACTTCACTGGTTATGAGTTTACTTATCTGTTAAATAGATGCAATAATGCTTGTTTCACAGGAAAACAATAAGGACTGAGAGAGCTAATGTAAGTGAAAACTACAGTGGTAAGAATGAATGCTGATTAGGGACCAGGTACTGTGCTAAATATTGTATCATCTAATTAGTGCTCACAACTACAAATGAACTGAGTCTTGTTATTATCCCCATTTTACAGATGGCAAAACTAAGATACAGCAAGATTAAGTAATTTGCTCAAGTCATGTGGCTGAAGAGTGGCAGGGCGCGGATTTCAATCTAGGAAGGCTATCTTCAGCTCCTGGACTCAGAGTAAAATGCCCGACATAGAAGAGAAACTTGATAAAGTTACGTTTCTTTTACACCTATAAATATGTAAAGAGATTTAAAATAAGAAACTGGTCAACACGTTGTCTGATGAAGGGAATTTAATTTCTAGCTTTTAAAGTCCTAGATTTTGTGGAGAATATTGTATCTGAATATTGGGAAGTATAGAATGACCTACTTCAAGCAAAGCAGCTTTAAATAAGGTCTGTTTTAAATAGCACACCCTAGAGTATTCACTACAAAAATTGCGAGCCATTTATCAAATGAGCTACCTGTGTGTGTGTATGTGTCCGTGTCTGCACATGCATGCATACGGCCGTAGGGGGATCTCACCCACTGATTTGTCCTTTTGACATTTGGTAAATAGACTTTCTCTATTGCTTTTGTCTTTAACACCAGATTATTTAGTCTGAACTTGACCCTTGAGCTTGAACATAAATCAAGGTTAGTCACATTTTAGGGGAAAATATTTAGGCATCTGCTGAGACCCTTATTAGAGTTCTAATTTTTTGTTATTTGATATTTATCATATGATACAAATCCCACAAAGGGAAGAAAGAAAGATAGATGAAAGAAAGAAAGAAAGAAAGAAAGAAAGAAAGAAAGAGAGTAGAGAGTAGTAGTAAGAGTAGAGGTAGTAAGTAGTAAGTAGAGAGAAGAAGTAGTAGGTACGTAAGTTAAGTAAGTAAGTAGTAGTACTCGTAGTA